ATCATCATCATCATCATCATCATCATCATCATCATCATCATCATCATTCGCTGTTCATCGGAGGCACCTCGAGCACGGCCGGGAGCTCTTCAAGAAGTGGGGCTTCCGACGAATCGAGGTGCGAGACCGTGCGAGTCAGTTCGGTGAGACTGGCGGGGTTCGGTTCAGTTTGTGGCGAAGTGGAAGCCCTGAGTGAAAAAAAGGAACGAAGGGCTTCCACCTTATTTAAAAATAGGAAACGAAGGGCTTCCACGAACAAAGATGGTCGATGAGGTAATATACTACTATACATGTACAGATTCTACCATGACATGTGTTAATTCAAGATGTTTTACCATGTTGTACAGTCTTTGAACCATCGACCATGGGGGTTCACATGTTCTTGGGCATTCTTGGGCAAACCCATCCAAACTCCCTCCCTTGCAGATCAACAGTCACGGCTCCTTCAGTTAGCTGTAGATGGGTGAAGTACACTCAAAGATCAACATCTCCCAACGCACAGATCTTCCCATGGATTGATCCTCAGGTTCAGCAGTTTGTCTTCCCTTGCTATCACAATCTTTTTAAAAGTTTCCTGTGGAAGGGCAGGTGATTGGCCGAGCGAATGGACGGTGTTTCGCGTTGGGCGTTCGCCGAAGCAAATGCAGGACATTTGCTGGGTCAAGACGAACCGGCAAGCAGCACCTGGGCTTCACTGCCAGGAGGTGGAAGTGAAGCATCACCAGTAGACCATTTGGATGTTCATTCGTTCTCCCCATCTGGGAATGTCAAAGGACCAGATTGACTTGGACATGGGCACTCCATGTCCAGAAGACCATCGCATGCTGACTAGGCGCCTTTTTCGCACGTGGTCGGATGTGATTCTCCGAATGCATGTGGCACCACTTCCATCAGGGGTTGCTTGGAACCAGGATAAACAGGGGCCCACAGTGGCGTACCTAGGAACAGTTGATATCCTTTAACTTTACCATCAATCTTTTTTGGGGGACGGTGGTTAACTTAGTTAACCTTTGTTTTCCAGGGAGTGCTTTGACTCACTCCACCAAGGAAAATCCGAACATCCGTCTCTTTCCAAGGAGTTGGACCAGCGTGGCTCCGTGAAGTGACGAGCCCAGCCCGGGGGGGACGCGTTGGGCCGGGTCGGAGCTGACGCTTCGCTTCTTGCGCGTTGGAACGGTCGGATGGCGGAGGAGCTGTTGATCACAGGAAACTTCGAGATTTGGTGAGATGATGAGATTTTGTCACAAGCACAGCTGAAGGCAATGCGAAATGGAAAAACATAGATGATGAGATGATGAGATTGGTCATTTGATCTCGTGCCACCTCAAACATGTCGACTGGAGTGGAAGGCAGTCATGTCTATCGGTGAAGCTTCCATGTCTCGGTGCTGAGCAAGTGGGATCAAGTGGGGGCATCAGTCTTTCTGCCTTGATCAGGTCATCATACCCTCGAAACTGGAGGGGCCAATGACATGTCGTTGACTCTGCTGAAATCGTAGGGATTTAGGACCCTTAAACTGAACACCTTTGAGATCTTGTGAGGCTCCTTGAGTCTTAGGGTGGGAAGTAGGGTGGGAAAGTATCATTTGGCCGAGGTCCACAAGATGGCATTCTCCCCCATCCCTTCTTCCGCATTTTCTACAGACAGCAGTGTGGCTCGTAGACTGAAAGAACCACACCCAAGCAAATCTCTCTTGCAGCTTTTGCATATATAAATAAATGCTGTATTATCCCAATCCGTCCACCCTGTCCTCCATCATGAGCCTAGTCAGCCTCATGATACTCAGGCAGCAAAGTGTGATGTACGGTGACAGCTCCATCATCCAGCGGACCAAAGAGCACTGCCTGGTGGGAGTGAAGGCACGAGTTACCGGTACCGGTACCACACCGGTACCGGTACGGTTCCTCGGCACCTCTTCTCGCACCAGTTCGTGCGCAGCGGAACGGCGGTGTTTCGCGGACAACCGGTTTGGCGTGTTGGATGTGGGTGTGATTCCAGTGATGTATATAAACACGAGTTTGTTTGTTTTTGTTGGGCCCTATCTCAGTCCCCAAAAGATGAATTGAACTGATGTTTGCTTTCTGGAATTGGTTTGGTCATCCAAGTTTATATGAACGGTAGCTGCTTCCCAGGGACAGTTCACCAGCCGTCAAAGCGACTTGGAAATCGCCATCAAGTCTCGGGCGGTGGAGATGATCATGCCTGATATTTGGCCTCACTGAAAGCCACCCCCTTTCGAGCCCCAGCGGCGGTTCCCTTAAGGACATGACGGGACTAGTGGGACTGCCATAGGACTGCCACCCCATTGAACCCGCAAAAAGCACCCCAATACCATGGAGCGTCTGAGTTAAGACATGACGCAATCCGAGCATATCCGAGCCTCCAATCTATGCCTCACCATGCCTCGGCCCTGTTGTGCGTCAAGAACACCACTCCCACTCGACGAGGGCACAGTGAAGCGCTCCGTGGACACGCATTTCATCCATGCCAACTGTGATGTCGATCTCATCATGGAGGAGCCATCTCCGTCGCTTTGGGGATTCTGGAGATGGGGTTTCGGAGATTTGGGGAGGGAGGATGAGTAGAGAGTCTTTGAAGGATAATCTGAACAGTCTTCTAATTAAATTATGGTGGAAGGCAAGGTCTTACTTGAAAGAGCATTACTCAGTCAGAGATTGGAGTTGAGAGCTGACCTCTTTCGGGGCTCGAGAAGAGACACAGGAGGAGAAGAGCTTCGGCTCCACTGCCAAGCCCATCGAGCGCGGCCCATGGTGCATGGTGGGAGCTGGGTGTTACACTCTTGAATAGCAGATCAGTGATGAAGTAGGTAGTTGCAATGACTCCAAGAGATTGAACATTCTCTGCCAAATGCAGTGCTTTTTGGTGGGGCAGGAGGAGTGCCAGTCATCGATTGCCGCTACGTATAGCTAGCAAAGCAAAGACCAGTCGACCAGTCGACAGTCGTCGAGTCTTCACACGGTCCTCCGATCTGCGCCGAGCCGCCGAGCCGCCGACGTTTGAGGCTCTATGAGACCATCGAGCACTTCTGCCTGGGTCGAAGGCCGGGCACTGCGGGCACTTGGTCGAGGGCATGTAGTTGCTCTATCCAGATTAATTCCCGAAGCCAGACCCTCCAGGTTCAACCATCCAGCTTCAAACATTTCAAACCTGGTTCTTGTATGATCAACTCCAGTAAACTGACGTCCAACAACACTGACCTGTAGGGAAAAGAACATCGGACCCAGAGGTCCAGGACCGGACCAGAGGTCCACACGGCCAGCAGCTGGACACAGTGGACACTCCTGGAGTGTCGTGGATGGAGGACTCCTCCGGTCGTGACAGGCTCTGCTGGACTCCGGAAGCGAGCTCTGAAGAGAGCTCTGAGAGATGGTACCTGGGAGCGATGGGGGAGACACTCTCCCACCACTTCGAATTGGGGAAGTCAGAAGTGAAAAATAAATTCAGACTCTTCCACGAAATCTGAAGACATACACAAATTGGCTGCATCACTGGATATCACTATAGGTGTTTACGTCTCATCTTCAACTTCTTCATGAGATCATCCTGTTCACCTCCCTTCCCCCCTTCCCTCCCTCCCGCTCCTTCGTTCGCGGACCTCCGGAGGCGTTTGGAGCTCTTCGGCCGGGACCGGAACCTCCGAGATGGACCGGAATGGGTCCCGAGACGAGACGAGCGTCCGGGACTGGGGGACCATGGAAGCAACGAACCGGCACTAGGCTAGGGGATCAAGTGGCTGGAACTCGTGGCGCACGAAGCGACCACCTACTTAGGGTCGCCTACCATGGTCTAACTCATGACACAAGGGGCCGACTCTGGCCCCCTATTTAGTTCGAACAAAAAGTACGGGTTTCTTCTTTTGGGAGGCCTCTCGGTTCCAGGTTCCACCATGTTCCACCATGTTCCACCATGTTCCAACGATCTGCTCTTCGAACCGGGCGGGACCGTGCGCCACGCATCGGCAGGATGGTTGACCTTGGGCAACGGCCTCACCACGGACAATTGGGACAAAGAGGCGCTCGGCTTGAGCATGGACGACCATAGTGCTGGTGCTGATGGTACTGGTTGTGTGGTGATGGTCATGGTGGGTCTTGGTACGTGGGAAAGAGGATACACTCGGTCCACTCTTCGTCCACTTCGGATGAAATGACCGAGTGGGTTGCGCGCCGCAATGGTGATAATGGATGCACGGTGAAAAAACACGGAGTTCGGGTGGTGGATCGACACCCCTTTTCCTATCCAATGGCCCTGGAGTGGTTGAGCAAACAGTTAGTGGTTCAGTCTTCTTAGGGCCTTCAACACTGCGCAGGTGGACCTCACCTGATATGTTTTCTACGCTGGCCCTGCCAGATGTGTTTGCCAGTTCTGTCTACACAGAGAGATCACGATGTACTCTTGGCTGCCAGAGTGCTTGGTGTTGTTGATGGGTGCAGTTTAGATCAGGATAGATCTCGGGGCCTCCCAGGATCCCCAAAGATGTCCGACCCCAAAAGAGTTCGAAGCAGACCAGCGAGCCGCAGACGGCTACGCCTGGACCCAGATCCAATACTTGTGAGGTGTGAAAGAGCTGAGCGGTAACCATCCTGAGACAAAACATGTATTGTGAAATGGCTTCTATCTCTTCAAGGACCACAATACAGTGGAAGGAAGATTTGCTGCACCACCTGGATGCACGATCCCTGCAAATAGATGCTAATGGTGGAATATGATGGACAAATTATATCATTCAAATTCATTCTGCGATCTGCTCCATTTCAGCTTTCTTTTTCTGCACGCGGCACGCGTTCCTTCAGTTGGTTTTGAATTTCAAGTTAAAGACCAGACATGTTCGAAGACTTGGCACCTGCTCTCCTCTCTCGTGGGGGCACGACCCCCCCCCCCCCCCCCTGCGAGCCCAGACCTATCTCAAGTGGTTCGAGGGCGATGTCCAATGGCCCGAGGCCACCGTGGCACCGTTGCGCCGCCGGTTTCGGACATGCTGCGTTGAAAGGATTGGGTCCAAAAGGACCTCATGTTTGCACATGTTCGCTATGGAAGGGGCAGAGATGAAAACCGGGAATCTTAACATACTGTATCTGAACTATATGTTTTTCATTGTTTTTCCCGCGTTCCTGGTCCCAAATCCAAGGCATTCACGGAAGAGATTCGCTATATGCTGAAGCCCAAATCTCTGTAAAAAATCCTCACATCGACCTGTTCACCACAGAGCTGGCGTTCTTCGTGATGTTCTTCATGGGATAGCTCCTGGTTGGCCACCCTCGGGGGTTGTCCTTGGGGCCGGTGTGTGGTGACGGCCGGGAAAGCTGAACTGCCTCCAGATGGGTCCCGGGTCCCCTATAAGCAGATGGTCAAGTTGGATCGAAATGGGATCGACTATGCACAAGGAGAACAGTGTATTTTATGCTTCTATGGCCATCGTGCCATGTGGGGCAAAACCCCCAACGCAAGCGCTCCAAAAGTTTTCACGCAAAAACAACACAAGGAGAAAACACGGAGCGAACAAACTCTCAATTCTTCGATACGGAGCGGCTCGAGCAATCGTGATTTACTTGGTCTATCCGGGTGTCTTAGTATGTCTTAGTCACATAATTCCAAATCCAGGTGGTTTGGCTACTTAAAATCCAGGTGGTTTGGCTACTTGAGTCACATAATTCCAATCCAGTAGCCTCTTTTCTTCAACCCAGCCAAGTCTTCGCGAGACGCTCGCTCGGACAGGTGGAAGACTACAAGGGTGGTCGCCTACTGGGGACAGCTCGGGGGGGGTAGAACAATACATGGGGTGAAGCATGGTGAAGCTTCAGAAACTGTGTTTAAATGGTTTCATGTTTTATTAATGTGTGTTTTCTTTTTTGGGATGTCCACATTTTCCTAAGTTCAGTTTCAACTGGTTCTCACCCCACGTAACCATGATTGTTTCAAGGATCGTATGTTTGAGTTGTTTAGAGGTGAAGTCACTGTGAAATCGATTGCAATCGATCCTTTTTTTGAAGTTTCCTCAGAATACAGCGGTACAAACAACGATTTAGATGGAACTTTGACTGGTTTTGCACCACGGGAGGTTACGGAACTCACAAGTGTTTGTTTATATCCTTTTCTTCATCATATGCAAGTTTATTGTTCATCATTTATGTCTAGTGTTTCAAGCGTTTCGTGTGGTTGAGCCATTGATCAAACGATGGTCATGCTGCAGGTATATCCGAGCTGTCTGAACTTCAGTATGATACTTGACACAACGCACTCATGCAGTTCTGAACGGACACTGACAAAAGAAGGCACCTGGGACTCTCCCAAAAACACTTATCAACTGTCCCTTCCTTCAAACCCTTCGCTCGCGAAAGTTAACACAAGATTAACAGACATTTGTCGACCAAATTGTTTTCCAAGGACCAACCATCCAAAGAGAAGTCCAAAGACTCTTTATCTCCAGCAGATCTAGATGATCTATATTTAATGCAATTGGTTGTGCTTTGTTGACTTCAACGGGCTTTTGACCAAAAAATTAAGGGCATGTTGCTTCCTTTTGGGGGGGGTGGTGCAGATGAGACTCCCCATCGGTTCTTCTAAAACTTGCTCCAGCCTTCCCATAGCCTTGAAGTCAAAACTACAGAGCACAAGATCTCTTCGCACCTTTGGGATATAGAATTCATAGATCTTTTTCATGCACCACCAGACCACCAGATGGCCTGCCAATCTGTTTCCATCTCGACTCTAAACCATCTTCTGAATGCCGTCCTGGCCGTGCTGGCCATCCCGGACGTCGCCTTAGTAGTACTGCCAGGAGCCACGTTTGTAGCGAACCGTGCTCCTAGGAGTAAGGCCAGGAGACCCCGTTCGTAGCGTCCGAAGGCTCCTAGAAATGCCCTTGTTCCAGAACCGTGGAACCTTCCCCTCTGCCGCAGGAGCAACCCCGAGATCGACACCCTGAGGCCTAAGAGCCCCGTGCGCCCAGGCGGGGACACCGGACGTTCGACGTTCGCATCCGACCATTTGGGTGTCCTGGGTGTCCGCACCCAGCCCACTACCATTATTCTACATGGTGCATTCGATTGGATGGTGTTTTGTTGGAGGATGAATTGCGGAACATGTTCCTCAACCTCAGGACATGCACCAAGCGAGCATCAACCTGCTACAAGATAGACTCACAGACTCCCATGGAGTTGGAGAGAGTAGGATCTCTCTCCTGCGATCTTAGAGTTCCAAACATCTCACCCATCCTCAACCATAGGCGGCAGAGACGCCTCCCAACGACTTCGTTAGCTAGGAAGTGTTCATGGATCACAGCGGAGGGCTGTTAAACCCGAGAGTCCACCCATCCATACCATTCCATTTCAGTCCAAAGGACCAGAGAAGTCACCCACACCCATCCAACTTCACTACTACAGTATTTCAGGTCGGATTCGCTAAGATAGGAGGCTAAGGCAAGCATGTCATGTCACTTGTTAGATGCTTGTTTAATCGTGTTTCTTTGATTCCTGTTGAATGTTTGCAAGGCGTTATGACATCACTTCCTGTGCTTTCACCTTGAAAGATGCTGTTGCCTCCTGTTTTTAACGCCCTTGTTCTGTGTCAAACAGGTGAAGGATCAGGTTAACGGTGCAGAAGCAACCATGTCACCTAAGTGCATGTCACCTAAGACCCGCTTCATCGGGACTTTCTGATGTTCGTGGCGCACACAGGCCAAAATTACTTTCATGATGATCTGCACAACCGTGCTGAGCCACATCCCAACAAAACAATGCCATTGCTCCACCTGCCCAATATCGGTTTAAAACAACATCAGCTTTACGTTACATGGAAATGTCCGACCTTCATGGAGAAAACTCTGTCGTCTTATGTGACCTTCACGGATTCTCCGCAGGACGCAAGCGGTCGAGGTCGTTGTCCCCGCGCCGGCGCATGGCTGGAGGTCGACCTCCGGACGAGTCGGACGAGTCGCAAGCGTCCGCGGTGGTTTCGTCCGGTTTGGTCCGCGGTTGGGGGCTCCCACCATTGGTGGGAGGACACGCGCCGCCCCAAAAAGATATAAAGACCGGTGGGGTCAGGGCTCAGAATGCTGAGCCGAAGTTTAGACGATCTCGCCCTGGGACTGCCTATTCTGTGAATGATATAAAATCAACATAGTAGTCAACATGGATTGGACATCGAATAGTAAGTCCACTCTCTTGTGGACGAATGATTTGCTCACGTGAGGCCCCAGCAGTGGAGCTGGTGGCTGGCGAGCCGCGCGTGCGAGCCGCGACTACGCCGGATCCCCCAGACATCGAGTGCTGGTGGTGCTCCTGTGCGTGGCCTGCGAACGGCGGCGGCAGCGGGTCGGTCGAAGCGTGTGGAGCTGGTGGCCAGCGGACAAAGTGTGGCCTGTCGACTGTCAGGAGTTGTGACTGGACCACAGGAGTTTGAGGTTGTAGGAGTTATTGTTGTTCTTTTTTTTACAGTGGTTTCAGAGTAGATGACATATTTAGATGGGGGTCCATATGAACCACCTCTTGGTGATTGTGCCATCTACTCTGAAACCACTGTAAGGGTTCTCTTCTTGTATTCAAGCATGCCATGGTTTTTGTTTGTGGTTATGTGCTTTTCTGCTGGAAACAGAAAAGCAGCGAACATAGCATTTAACCTGAATTTGACTCGACAAGCTTATATTATACAAACTTGTACTCTTGGTTGTAGTTTTCCAATGTTTTCCATGTTTTCTTCAACATGTCTCATCATTCTGCATCATTCTTTGCTTCGATGTCTTGCCGAGGACTACGAGGAGGATGAGAAGCCGCTGCCTGAGGATTTGGGTGAGATGGCTCCGCCCATTCCAAAGGAGGACGATTGAGGCTTGGATGGGCGAGCGGAAAAATGCAGTTGATGGATCCGAAGAATTAAACATGAGGATATTGAACAGTGGATCCTGTACATGGATCAGGGCGAGTGGATCCTGTCAAGTTGAACAGGGGAAAGGAACCGCAATGGCCGGAGATCATCCGCTGACCGCGATTGACCTTGAGATTCATGTAGCACATTCCCTGAAAAGTACTGAAATCTTCCGAAATCATCCCAGAAGTGGAGTGAAAACCACCAAACTTGGGTCTTTGGATAGTGAAAACCATCAAACTTGCGGTTTTCCTTCTTTGGGGGCCGTGCCATCCACCGTGATTCTTCCAAGGAGTGTATGTTGTGTAGGTGTTTTGCTTGGTTCGACCGACGTTTCCTTGGAGGGCAGCGAGGTGCCCCCCATGTCCTTATTTTTGTGCGAGATGGCTTGGGGTGCTGAAGGCGATTCATGCACCGGTGAGCAAACGTGAGGTCCTCTAACCGGGACACCTCACTGAAAGCACAAGAAATCAGCGAATTCAACACGTGTTGGTGTATTTGTCCAGACATGAAGTGTATTGTTTCCTATTGCACCCAAGACAAAACATAGCAGCTATAGTCTGCGGAACCGCAGACTTCGCTTCCGAGCCGTCCGTCCCACACGGCAGGCCCGTTCAGTGCCTCACTGGTGCGTCAAAAACGGGACCTCGACGTGCGAAACAACGGGCGATGCTGCGGAGTCGTGGACGGGGTCAGTGCCACGAGGATGAGTTGTATCTGTCAAGAAGCACGGGTTCGTCAAGGGAATTTGCAGTAAGATACTGTAGGTGCGTCTTGGAATGACCACAAGTTTGATGGCAGTCCAAATCAACTGTTATAATTACATTGTTTGTGAAGAATTCAACACCCACATGAGCAACCGCATTTATTCACCAACATAAAGAATAGCTTGGAGGTGGCCGCATGTTTCCCCAAAACGTTGTGGCCCCGGTGAACGAGGTAGGGGTAAGCTATAAATCGAGATCTCCTGTACATGTATAGTGCTGTGGCATAGGTATGTCATGTAGAAAGCTCGGAAAACGAGACTCCAGACAAGCAATATCAAAATCAATTGAACGAGATGGGGGACATACAGCCATTACATTTAGTTAATTAGTATTTAAGAATGGTCGTCGCTCACATGATGTCATATATGCTGGGCCAGGTGCTGGTGTTTCTTTTTCGCGGTTCCCTGGAGAGCAATGTGAACAACTGCCTGATGTGAACGGGGGATGACCATCCACAGGTATAATATATTTATATATATATATATTTATTTATATCCCAAAAACTCCATGGGACTGCCATATATGCCGATCAGTTGCGGTGGCTTTGGGGGGTCAATGGGGCGGCATATATGGCAGTCTCATGGAGTGTCTGCATGGGTATATAATTACTAGATCATATATAGGACAACCATGGAAAACCTAACCGCACGCGCCGATCTGTGATATTCCAGACTGCAATGCACTTTGAGACAAAGATGTAAAGGACGCCCATGCGGTTTCAGCAGATCATAGGACTTGTAGCTTCCCAGGCTGGTGTACCTGCACCTAGTGTTGCGATCCAGCTGGACAATCCAAGCATCTCTTGAACCAACCTCACCAACGTCTACATCCAACAACCGTTAGAATAGAACATGTTAGAAGTTAGAACTGTTAAAACTGACAAGAAGTCCAACCTGGTCACTGGTCGCGAACCTCAGCTTCGAAGAATAGAGAACCCGACTCTACAGCGAAAGCCCACTCTTTGTATACCAGGCACATACACAAGGCTTTTTTCTGTCCAAAAGAAGTGACAGATCAGATATTCAGAGATACTGAGATACTGTATTCCTTCGGATAGGAGAAGCCTCTCCACACCCACCATTTGGAATATTTGTTTATCTATACCATCCTCAACCCAGACCTTCCCTGTTGCCCCATCCTTCCCCCACTGGCATCCACTGGCCACGCTCGACAAGAACGCCGGACCGTTGTCCGGGCGTGTTGTTCGCCGAGTGGCTGGGTAGGAGGCGTGGGTGTCCGACCTGGTGATTAGCCTTAGGGAAGGGTGAAACATGAGGTTGAAACATGTGTTCTTTTTGCCAGCAAGCAGTGAATGAATTCAACTGTTAGGCGCTTCTGCTCGCCGAAACCTGCAAATGTTGCACATCAAATTGACACATTGATACACATTGTGTCATTGTGTGTGTGTTTTTTTTCCAGCAAGGGGTGAGCGACGGCAGACTCTGGCTGCATGACTGGCTGCTTTCACACAATGATGACTCCTGATTGAGCCACATCGTTTGAGTCACACAGCGCACCACAGCGCACAGACGTAGCCCTTGTATGTCATTGTCTTTTTGATGACTTTTGCTGACCCTGAAATCTGATTGTCCTCTAGAACATCTCCAGGCCGATGGAGGGGGTCCCACCTGCCTTTGAGCCGCCACCCCAGATGTTTTGGATGGGCCGGCAAAGTTTTGCCATGCAGATTGTCCTTGACAGTTCTCTCCAACTGCCTTTCACATGAAGACACCTATACCTTGCGATGTTTTGCCATAGTTTGCCTCTTCTTTGCAACGCTTTACAATATGTTGCTTATTATATATTGAATTGTTTTTTGCGACTGTTTTGTCTCGGTTTATGGTGAAGCTTAAGAGCTTTTGTAATACCCTCACAGTAAGGTGCGGTTGATGTTGTGCGTTTTCCCCCAACAGCAGTTGCAAGGACCATCACCAGCACCCTCCCATTCTGATTTCTTAAGCCCTCACCCTCAGTGGAAGGCTAAACAGGTCGGTGGTGTTTGAGCTCCAAAAGCCCTGTCCTGTGAGGGTCACAGCACCCAGGTTTTTCAGGACCCTAGTTACACTATGTTCCACTATGTTCCACTATCCCACACGTACCCCAGCTTAGGGGGGGAGGTCCTCCCTCTCAGGTGACAACCCACATCTTAGCATGTGACTTCACCCTTCGACCTACCTCGCCTCCGCCCTCCGAGCTGCGCGCCGCGTTTCTCGGAGCGTGCGAACTCCGAGGCCCGTGGACTTCGGTGACCTCCAAGAGCTGCGCGCCCGGCGCGACTTGAGCGTCGCGAGCGGCTCGTGCCTGCCGCGACGCGCGAAGAGGTTCCGCGTTTGTGACTGCCAGGGCAGGCGGTTTTTTTGACACGGCCGCGGTGGTTTGGGGGGAGCCTCAGGGCGGTGTTACTCGGCTAGATGGACACGTGCGGCTGGATGAACATGGAAGGTTGACCCAGGCAAGTTTGAACACGAGCTGCTTTTCCAAATAAAAAACAAAACAAACAGTCCGGAAGCAGGCCGCAGGCCGTCTTTCCGTTCCTTCCCGAAAGAAACCCATGCACATCCAGGAACCGGAGTGTATAGACCCCCCCCCCCTTACGCGCCACAACTTCATGTAGGCCCTCGTAGCCCCGCGGCGCCGGTTTCGTTTGCGGCGCAATAAGTTAGGTTCTCGGGCGTGCCGTGTGCCCCAACCTGCCCATGATGCCGTGGGCGATTCGCAGGGTCATACGACGTGCCAACCCATGTGCTCGGTGCAAAGACCCTTCCCCGTTCATTTTGGGTATGGAGTTTATGTATAATCATGTGTCATTTGTCATATTCTTTCTTTGATCGCTAGGCCAAACCCTCGTGCAAGCTTGGGTCAACTCCCTTCTTGGGCATATCAGCTCAACCAAACAATGCATAAGCATGACCCTCTGGGCGTTGGATGCAGATGCCGTGCTCATGATCGTGAAAGCTGGCTTTCGTTGGCAAAAGTCATGCATGACAGATGCAAGACATTTCAAGGTCCGTAGCACCACTCAGCTCATTCTTGGTAGGAATTTGGGCCTTTTCAGGTACGTACAGCAGGATTTCCCCAATACAGCAAATGTCTTAGTTGAGGACCAAGTATGCAGCAACACACGATATGCCGATATGACGGTTTTTGTTAGATGTTGAATCTGAATGTTTTTGAGATTTGTTTGAGAGGATGTGGGCTCTGCGCCATTCCGCTTATTTTCTTTCATTGGCACCTCCACGTCTTCTTTCTCCGCAAGCCATCCTCAACAGCAGCAAACCGCCGTGGCAGGTTAGAAAGCGTGCAGAACGGCTCTGAGGTGTCCGGGCCATTCCGAAGATTTGGGGACTGAACGGTCAAGAGTAAACCCTAAGGGTCCCAGCCCTCCAAGCGGAAGGGTCCGCCCCGAGGGCCTCGGGTCTTGGTCCGTCCAAGAATTCCGAGTACATGAACGATCCTCCCTATAGGTGCATGTGCACTGAAAGCAAGGTCTTGCATGGTCTTGCTGTGATTTGGATGGTTTGGGGGCCATCTTAAACCAAGACTTCGAGTTGAACAGTGCCCAAATCCACACCAAACGGGGACTCAAAACAAGTCCTGTGTAATTATTACACATTTAGTACACCTTATAATTTTGTCTTGTGAACTTGTGAGCCAATCACTGCTTGTGACTCCTTCTGGCGCCAGCCTTCGCCAGGACCCAGTGGCAGTGGCGCTTGAGCAGGGTGTTGATGAGACGATCCTCCGATGAAAGGGATGCATCTGGTCTTGTCACTCGAATCGGTGACATGGCACATCATGGAACATGAACACTTCGCCCCCCGAAAACCAAAAAGCAAACATGAACATATGATTATGCCTGCAACAAATGTTCAGTCATCCCCCAAAAACAACATGTGGGATCAGAATCATCAGACTCTCAAATTGGGTTCCTCAGACCCCGCCCACCCGGTGCATTGAGGCGAGACACGCATGTCTTTTCTCCACCCTAGGAAGAGAGTAGCTGGTAGCATCGACCATCAGCTGGAGCTTCTGGAGGAAGAGAGTGCACGGGTGCCCCAGTAGCTCGCGCCAAGGCCCGGCCAAGGGGCCAGAGATTGATATTATACCAGGACCCTAGCTGTTAAGGGGTGTCCATTAACCACCCATTGGGGGTCTTGGTATATGATATTGTTTTGATATAGCTATAATTATGCAGGTTGAAAGCAATGGTTTCGGAAGAAAGCATCTCAGGTGTTGTGGAATCTATAGGGCAACCGGTTGATTTGATCGAACCAGGCTGCTTCAGCTGCTGCACAAACTTTGTAAAATCAAAGCTCATAATTTGCAGATGACTGTAATTAGATGTATTATTTATACATTGCTGGGTCATAACTGAATTATTTGGCATTCCAAGATATTCCGAGCCTTTCTTCTTGAGATAAAAGCAACCTTTAGCATGTTTATATACTATATGAAACAGTACGGCATGTTATATACTATAAGTTAAGGCAAAGTCACAAACTACTGACTGACTGAGTCATTAAAACAAATAGTCTTCTATCAAACACTGATGGGGGACTGAACTTAGACCAACGGACAGCACCAGGTTGGCGACTATGTCGGCAGTTTCCAGTCCTTCGAGGACGGCTTGGCAAGGTGAATCATCCAAGGTATGGAACTTCGTTGAACTGGGTACTTAGTATGTTGGATATATCCCATTACCAGTGGATGATGATGGTTAGTATAGACCTTTCTATAAAATACCGACTGTTACAGGTATAGTAGTTTTAGACGTGACTGGCACCCGAAGATGTCTAAGACGGATGCGGGTCTATATAAACGACCAAACTTGGGGTAACTTGTGCCATCGAACCTCTGAAACCACCAGACTGTAGTTGAACTGGATACTTACTTGACAGCACGTTTATGTAGTTTTTTTTACCCTGCTTCCTACTCGGTGGGTTCTCAAAATACAATACTCATCCGTTGGAAGCTGCAAGTGCTTGTTCATGTTGTCCCTTCGCGTTTCAATTCTGTTCGGCACAAAGTGTCCAAGGTCTTGATAAAGAGCTAGAGCCAGCCGTGTGGTTCACATGGTAGCTCATGACCCAAAAGTCTGACGGCTCCGGAGTCTGGTTTTTAGACACCAACAAAAATCTAGATGTTTTATGTTTGTATTATAGGGTCATAGGGTGTGTCCAATTTGCCAATAACAGTACTTCAAAGAGAAACATCACTATTTTTGAGAAATGATGGAAAGGCCTGCAACTTCAGGCCCCATCATGCATTGGTATACCTGGTATACCAGCAGAATGACCCAAGACATATCTACTGACCTGGGGGAGTCGAACCTCTTTACGTCACAGTGCTCCTTCTGCTGCGAGGAGCTGCATCAGGAGATCGTTGCGACAGATTCTCTCCTTGAGAAGCGCCTTGGCCTGTGAAAAACTGGAAGTACAGCCATTTTGAGAGCTACTGGAGTGGGTGAGAAAATCTCAAAAACATCTGTATACATGGTTGGCTTTTGTGGGTGGGCAGGACAAGAGTCTGGACTCACGCAAGCACTAGGGCCCAGAGATTGAAGAATGTAGATGTGCAACCTGCGAGCCATGTGATTAGTTTAAGCTCAATCCTTGATGTCGAATCCAGGATGGAGCGCATGCTGGGCACGTGGGGGTTCTCAGATGGCTGGCAAAGCAACATGCTGTTCACTGCGGAGCTTCGCGTGCAAGAAGCAACGTTCAGTTTGTTGAAACATGTCTGTGGAGAGGCTGGAATACAGGAAGACTCCTCACACATTTGGGGCGGTGAAATGTGATCAATGCCTAGTGGCCTCCTGCAATGAGTGTTTGAGCTGAGCATATCAATGAGCTCCCATTGCACTTGGAGGTTCTTCCCTCTTCGATCATGAAGTTCCCAATGTAGTTATCCCAGACAAGATCTCCGACCTGATATTATTTGTGTTTGAAAAGTGAGATCCCCAACCAGTGAATTGGAACCTGTCGCATGCTCGTTGCAATTCATCCGTGTTTTGCCTTGCTTTCCACACAGCTAGCTACAGCTAGCTACAGCTAGCTACAGCTACACAGCTCCCGTGGCGCTGTCCGTGCTGTCGCAGGTTCCAATCGGATCTCTCCGGCATTTCGGACGAGATCCGAATGCTTCAGGCGGCGGTTCGGTATGGACCGTGGTCCGCCGCGCGTCCGGGAGGATGGTCCGCGCGGGACTGGGTTTTGTTGGAGCAAAGCGATGCAGGAGTTCGAATTGAACCTCCTGTAGGTCGAATTTCATGGTCAGCCAGAGGAGCTATATGAACATGAAGGTTTCACTTGTGGACGAGGAGAGGTGTCAGCAGAAAGTGGTACCCGTTCCTTTCATTGAGCGAGGATGAACAACTATATAGTTAAACCAGTGTCCTGTCAGTCTGAACCTAGGCCCATCTAGGCCCTGACCACCCGAAGACAGAAACATTCAAGGAAGATACATGGACTTTTGGTTGGGGAACCAAGCTCCGGGTCGAGTGCCCCACCATAACCCTTACACACACAGGACCGATCTGTGGATTACCCTCATCCATGATTGGAAATCATGCAGTATTTAGAATCCAGTGATTTAGGGATTGACCCTACCCCATCAACATGTGGATTCATTTCAGTATTCATGCTACTGTCCATCCACAGCAAAACCCTCCCTGCAGGGCCAATCCTTGCAGATGAACCTGAAGCTGCAAGGGCCTCATAAAGGAGTGAAGTTTTTCATTCGCAGCGACCATGAGCAGCACTCAGGACAAACACCTTGCAAAAAGGTCCCTTTGGTTTATAATCTATAAGACTTTCTACCCCGGTGGGTGCCGAACTTGGTCTTCAATGACCAAAACGAGCAGAGGATTCTGGACTTCACGCGGGCGCTTTGGTTAGCGCAGAGTGTATAATATACATATATATATATATGTAATGCATGTATGTACAATTTTCGAAGAACATGCTGGTATCCCCCAGCCAAGCTAACATAGCAACCGACGTATTCATCCTATCTTAGCTGTGGGAGAGCTTTTTCCTCCTATCTTACGGGTCACGCTCATCTATAGGACCAGCGTGTTATTTCATCTTAGCAAAAGCAATTAATTGGCAGTCAGAGTGAGTCATTGGCCCCCTGAGCCACATTGAGGCGTTTAGCAGATCAACAACACTTTGCTGGAGGTCATTTTCCAACACACATACAACGATTTGGTTGGGACGAGGTCCCATATATTTTGAAGCAAGATTGTCCATTGAAACAGGACTGAGCACTCAGAGATACTCAAGAGCCCCTAAACCCAACGATGTCAATGGTCGATCCCCCTGAGTGCTATGATGATGTTTGCATGTGTTTTGCACAGAAACCCAAACAATCTCATGATCAAAGGCCAGGACGCGGGGAAATACCTGTGAAAAGAATAACGCATCAAATTTGCAGAGGGTCGTGCAGGTGCTAGCATCCCTCCAACTGCACCAGACCGTCTCACGCAGTTCGGACGCAGTCAGGCAGAACCGCCGTGCCTTGCAGTCCTTGATGTCCGACTATGTCGCTTAGTTCATTTTCAGTACGGAGGGACGGCAGGAGGGTGGGACGTCCGAACTCCCTGCCCCCATGGTGGCATGGCATACGTTTCTCGGGTCCGGTGGGTCCGACGAGAAAAGCTCGGACCCGTCCGGGATTGGTGCGACATGTCGCTCAGTGGACCGGCACAGCTCACCTGGTTCCCTTGAGTTGGCTGTGTGAGTCCACACGATCGCAGGCAGCGGTCCGCGCATGCGGCGCTCCACATGAGGATCCGGTGAACAGCCGGTCGAGCGGAAGTGGGGTCCGGCGCTGTTCAGGTCTGAGCTGTTCGCCTCTGGGCAGCTGTCAGCTTTCTCTCACCCCCGCGCAAGCACCAATGTGTTCGCCCCCGGTGGTGGCCTTTGATGCTTGGGGTTGGGTCCAGAACATGGTCAGGTTGAAGCTGATGCATTTTTGGGGATTCCCTCCCTCGCCATGGGTGCCCTTTGGTTTGTTTCCTTTGTGACCTAGGTGAGCTCGGTGGTGGTGAGTCCGCAGCTGGTGCGGCAAATCTGCGAAGAGGAGATCAATGAGGCCAGGCGGCCAGAGGTTGTGGATATGTGTAGGGCTGATGATCTGGATCCCAGCCTGAGTGGCTGTCATGGTACTCATAGTCGGTAGTAGCCAGGGCCTTTTGTGGACCTTTGCTGTACCATGTGGGTCATGGTAGACCGCGCGGCTCGACCGCGGGCACGACCTGCCGGGTGTGCTTCGGTCTCATGGACTGCGACTCGCGGTGGAGCTGACAAAAGGCATTGTTTTTGATTGGTTTGGTTGGGAAAGTGGCATGGAGTGTTGATTTGGGGAGGGCCCGGAGGGCAGTGCTGTTCCACTTTGGATTGAAACATTAATGATGAAACCATCATCCTTTCTTTTTCCATCATACCAACCCAAAGCAATGCAGACCAAATGCATCAAGTCCTATCAAGTCCAACGGCCCGAAAAAAAGTCAAAACACGGACAGAAAACAGAGACTGCCATTTCCCAGACGCTCCATGTATGGTATATATGCCTGCATTATCCCCGTAAAAATTTCATCCATAAAATCAGTCCCCCCCAGGCTCCTGCATAGAACGGTTCTACGAACCACATGGCTCTCCAGAAGAGACTCCAAAAGTGGGGGACCACTCATTTTAATTTTATGGACAGCCGTTTTTGGGTGGACTCCTATCCATTTTATGGAAAGGTAATCTTCCTATAATCTCAGATCAAAGGCGGTTTCAGGTGCTGGACTCCAGCCATTCTATAAGCACAGCATTCTTGAGAAGAATACTAAGGAAAGAACTAAGGAGACTCAGGCTTTGTCATCTTCATCCTGCTGGCGTTCATGGGCCTTAGCTTGGGAACGCCCAGCCCACAAAAAGATAAAGAAACACTACTTGTAACTAGTACGCCGAAAGGTGTAAAATAGCGCCGAAAGGTGCACCTCATTTTCTTTTTCTTTAGGAATCGTTGGGCTCAACTTCCAGTGTCGGCTATTAAAATCCGACACTGGCTAAATAGGATTTTTGAGTGTGTTGTGTATTACTTCCAGCGTCGGCTATTAAAATCCGACACTGGCTAAATAGGAGATTTTTGTGTGTTGCCAGTTCTGGTCTTTTCCAGAACTGGGTGTGTGTTGTGTGTATTACTTCCAGTGTCGGCTATTAAAATACGACACTGGCTAAATAGGATTTTTTTTGTGTGTTGCCAGTTCTGGTGTGTGTGTGTGTGTGTGTGTTGTGTGCGTGTGTATTTGTTTCTGTCTGGGTTTTGTTGTGCAACTTGAAGGAGAGCCCGGCCCGCAATGGTAGTTTTTTTGGAATGGGGGATTGTCCAATGGTATATGCGAAGCATATACACTTTCAATGGAGCAGAACATAGACAGAGACCGTGCACTGCAAGAGTGAGAAATGTGGTTGTCCGTCATTTTCAGCTGTTTTGTGAAGCCTAGATTTCTCTGCCAACATGACCCCTTATAAAATGGCGTTTTTTTGAGGAACTGTGTGCTTGAGCGTTTATCTTGACACAATGAAGGTCTGGAAGGAGGTTGGGGTAAACCAACTTATGGTTAGGCCATTTTGAGGTTATTGGCAGTGTTATAGGCTACAAAGGTGTCATTTTGGTTGGTTTTGGTCGGCCTGGGCTCCCCATTCTATAGTGAGCTGGTGTCCATCCTGTTAGCTGGGGTCATCCATTCTATAGAGCAAAAAAGGTAGGCTCCCCCATTTTATTACTATAAAATGGTGAGTCCGGACTGACCATGGGAATTTCAACGGGGATCCTGCATTGGTATGGTTTGAGGGGTCAATGTAGGCATATATGGCATACATGGAGCATTTGGGTTTTGCTAGCATGGCCTTCGTTTTCCGAACACGGCGATGGCTTGCGTGCGTTGTCCTTTTTCGCCACGGTGAGGCCTACTTGGGCTACCTTTCGGAGCTCAACAAGAAGTGGGGGCGACCCAGGTCCAGCATGGTTTTCTCGGCTTATGCTCGAAGGCCTGCTTGGCATGCCCGCGTGGTAACGACCTGTTTTTAGGGTGATAGACCTCACAACTGAGGTGGCATGTGTTCGCTCAAAAGGTGGGATCAGCCTGGAGGGAGCAGCCTGTTGTTGCAGTGACTGCGTATTGCAAGGATCCTGTGAATCTCGGTGCATCTGTGTTTGTTAGTTACAGGCAACTGACAAAGTCCTACCCAAAACCATCCAAAACCATGCGCAATCCATGGGGGAAGAGCAGGCATCACATTGCCGTTTCCCTGTGCTGTTACTATTACTTTAGTTGTGCCGATTTGTGCAGTAAATGCCTTGCTGCAAGTCATTCCAAGTGGCCCGATTACCTCGAAGAACATATACTGCAACTATCTACCAGCAGTCACCAAGGGGTGTCTATTGGAGGATAGGGCTGCCCATTATCCACTCACTTAGGGACAAAAAAAACCCTTGGTGACTCCTGGTACAGTGGTTTCAGAGGCGAGAAATGGCACAAGTGGGGCCCCAAGTTTGGTGGTTTAGATGGACGGACTCCCATTTGTCTAAGACATGTAGGTAGTGGTGGACTGGCACCATTTCTCACCTCTGAAAACTGCCTAAAGACAAAAAGGACACAGTCTGAACTGCCTATTTAAAAATATTTGGGCAACCAAAAACCACGTTCTTATCGCTGTATACGGTGGTCTTTGGGACATCACCCGATGTTTGTGAACCGCGAGGATCCGGCCAACCCACGCCTCGTGCGTCCGCGTCCAACTTCAGCTGAACCACCCGCCGAAGCTGGTTGGGTCCCATGGGAATCAGGTGACCCATATGAACTGTTTTTGGTTGGTCCAGTTCGTGGTTGAACCCATAGGGGTCAATGACCAACGCGGCCGGTTTCTCCTTTGGTGCCAAGAAGGCGTGTGAAACACCGGTGACCACTAACTCTAACTCTCCTGTCTTGACCGGCTTCTGTCGGCCTCGGCGAGGCTGGACCATGTGAAGCAACAGGAGATGCAAAAGCTGTCGCCTGGCCTGAGCAGCTGGAGCTGATCGACCTGGATCATGGGCCATCGCGTTTTGGGGATTCACGGGTGGTTGAAACGGTGTCGCTTGCTTCATGTTGGAACGATCTTGAAGCACCTGCTTTGAACGGGTGATGTCGTATCCTCAAAATCACAACCAACTTCTGGCCTCGAGGCCGAAAAACAGGAAATGTTAAAGTTTTGGCACTCTTTCGGGGTGGACCAGATCTGGTGAAACTTCTGAAAAGTGCAGAGACCTGAAACATCTGGAGATCCACTTGGTCCATGCCACGTGGGTCGATTCACTAGTCGGTCGAACCTCTTGTGGCTCGATCCCCCTGGTGTGAAGAGCTCAAGACCCAAGCCTACCATGACGCAGCTCACACAGCTGTATGGGTGCACATGTCAGGTTTGGGAAGGGAGACTACCAGGGTTACCATGGTGCCAGGACGTGAATTCCCCTTGAACTTCCCGCTTTGGTGGAGCAAGACGCACCGAGGCCCTCCTGCGCACAAAGCGCTCCGGAACTCGAAAAACTGCGAAGCAAGGCGAGCTGGAGGAAGAGAGGAACGCGGCACGCGATCTCTTTGCGAACTGCCTGTTTTTAGGGATCTGACATGATTTGACCACATGATTTGACGCGCCAGGGACACGACTTGGGTAGTAAAGTACTTTGAAGATCTCCTTTCTGTGGCTGTGTCAATATGTGGCTATGTCAAATGTC